CAACCACAGTTTTTAAACATTGAAATACTTTCCCTAGACGTTCTAAGTGCTGATCATAAGAAGAGGAAAATACGATAACATCATCAAGATAGATCATACATATACTGAGATGTAAATCGCCTAAACATTCTTCCATTAACCGTTGATAGGTTGCAGGAGCGTTGGTGAGACCAAAAGGCATCCTATTGTACTCATAAAAACCCAACGGGCCAACCGTAAACGCTGTCTTTTGCTTGTCGCTCTCTTTTACTGCACACTGATGATATCCGGACTTCATATCAAGTACGGTGAAATACCTACTTCCAGCCATATTCTCCAGTAGCTCTTCAATTCGCGGCAAAGCATAAGGGTCCTTTATGGTCCGGGAATTTAACTGACGATAATCCACACATAGTCGAAGCGATCCATCTTTCTTTCTAACAAGTACAATGTTTGAAGCAAATGGACTCTTTGACTTACGAATAATACCTCCAGCTAACAATTCCTTTAGATGGTTTTTGACTTCCTGGTACATTGATGGTGGAATCCGTCGATGTTTTTGTTTGAAAGGGGTTTCATCTTGTAACTTTATATCATGTTCCACCAGGTTGGTGCAACCAACATCTGTATCACCACCAGAAAATATTGAAGACCATCTTCTAATAAAGTCTTTCATACCAGCAATTTGCTGTTCTATTAGAGTTGAATTTGATATACTTACCTTTCCTAAAATTATGTCAGAATGAGACTTTTCTTCACTAGTTGGAACACTAGAAAGGATGTTGTCTACTACCGTAACAGGTTGTATCTCACAAATAACAGCTCGAGGTTGAATAGTGATAGGATATGATGACAAGTTAGATATTCTGATGTTAACTAAATTGTTGATGTTTGGATTGAAGTCAACTACAACAGGGGATACTTCCACTGAATTTGGTAGCTTAGATGAAATACTATATTGACAAAGTGCGGTTCCTGGGGGCAATGAATACTTACCATCAATATATCCAACAACTACCATAGACTTGTTACTATTAAGCAAAATAGAGTTTCGTTCAGCACATTTTACAACAGGAAACTTGTCAGTACTTCTTTGTTGAATCCTCAAACAGTTAAAAGTCATCAACCACGGTTTCTCCAAAGCAAGTT